GTAAATTGTCTAGCCGATAGTTATAAATAGAGTATCCCCCACTACTTACAGATTCCTTTTAAGAAAAAATACATAGGTAGAGAGATAGAGATAGAGAATGAGAGAACTCTATACTTATATCCCTGAGTTAGTTAAGATTCCTCAACTAAATCCTAGTTTTGGAATGAAGTGCTAGCCATCTTAGCCACCTTCTCCTGGGCCTCTTATCTCTTTGGTAACTTAATCATAAAGTATCCATTCATTCACTAATTCTTTCATTCATTCATCACACAAACATTTGTCAAGTATCTATGCCAGTGCATCTTACATTTTGGTATTTATTAAATTACTCAGGTATTTGTTACAAATACAGGTAAATGCCTAAGTCCTGTTGAATCCCCAAGGGGTAGGTAGGTTCCAGGAATTTGATTTTAAAAGGGCCCATTTTAGGGATGCTCTGGGAATACGAAGGTGGACGGGACAGTCCTTTCCCCTTACCAGACCATCATACAAATGAGCAGGTAAGCTAGTGCAATAAGGGTTCACCCAAGCTATGGAAGAAAATGTACAGGCACCCATGAGCGAGTGGCTGCTTCTTCCAAGGGGAGGCCAGCAATTCCGAGGGTTCACAACCAGTTAGTGTGGTGCTCACTCTCCAGCAGGTTGGTCGCTGGGAAATGTTCAGTCCTGTGTAAAGTGTGCCTGACGTTTGCTCCAACACAGTAGGCTTCAGATGCGGAATGAAAGAACATGTCGCTTTCTGTTCTGTCCTGCTCTACTAGCCATGAATGGATGGGGGAGCACAGGGACATAGGGAGGATCCGCCAGCTCGTCAACGCTCACAGTTCTGATGAATCTCATGCAGGTTCCCCTTTGTCAGTGTGGCAGAGGGAAGAGATCCACAGAAAGGGAGTTAGAAATCTTGTTGGGTTTATAATCAGGAAACATGGGCTCCAGCTCCGACCCTGCTACGTATTAGCTGGACAATCTATTTAGCCTCTCAGTCTTGTTTTCCTCATCTGTAAAGGCAGGCAATAATGTCTACATATTAGGGGATTTTTTTGAGGGGGGGTTGGATAATATAAAACATTTGGTACATAAACTGCTCAGCATTGTGCCTGACGGGGTCAGTGCTAATACATAGTATTTATGTTTATTAATACTAGAAATAATAACGGATCCCTATTTGTGAGCCCAGAGCTGACTTTTCCTCAGGCTATGAAAGCCAACCTCCATATTTACAGTGGCTAACAACTGTTTGTTCTGCCCAGATCCCTGGAGGGCTATGACACCCTCTTAGCTGGGCCCCTGTCCCACCAGGGCAGTGATTCTCAACTGGGGCCCATTCTTCAGAGCTCAGGTTGGCTTGATCTAAGTCCTTAGGTCGTTTGGACCCCCTCCCTGCCCCCACCAAGATGCTTGCTCATTACTCCTGCCCCTGACTGAAATGTATTGCTTAGGGCAGTGAGTCTTAAGCAATGTGCATATTAGCATCTTTCATGGAGCTTTGTTGAAATACACAAGCTGCATTCGACCACGGACTTGATAAATCATAATTACCCTGGTGGAGCATTGGTAAGTGTAGTTTTCCTTTTCAGGCAATGCTGATATGCAGGCCTGGTAAAGAATTACTGTCTTCATGGATGTCTCTCTGCTCAACTCTGTCCCATTCAGCTAGCATAGCACTAAATCTGCTAGCAAAAAATAATGGTGTCCAGTAGCTTTTCAAAGCTCAGAGATACTGACCCTGTGTGTTTAAATAAGGAGGCAGAGCCTTTGGTGATGAGGGACGTGTGACAAGGGGAAGAACTGCAATGTGAAGGGGCTCTGGATATGGCCCTGGACATGATGCATACTCAGTACTTAGCAAAAGGCAGGGATTATTATTAGTAATAGTTTTGTTTTGGCCTCACAGATTCTAGTTCCTTGGAAGGTCTATTTCCATTTTAGAAGAAAAGATTCCAAACCCAGGAATTAAGAAACCCACTCAGTGTTTAGGAAGGATTTAGAAAACGTGAGAAGAGGGCACATACAGCGTAACAGTGAAATTTCAAGAAAGATAAGCAGTGTGGCCCCGTGTTCATTTCCCCTTTTGCTTCTGAAATGAGCAAGGAAGGAGATGGCCAACAATGGCCTCCCAACACTCAGGTCCTGTGCACAGCACGATGAACCCCAGAGTGCGACGGGCTTTGGTTTTTGTATCTCTTAGCATTCATCCTTGACATTTGGGGCTCCTGGTTGCTGTGCAAAGAGGAGTATAGCCACATCTCCAGCTGAGCCTAGTGTAATATCTCTGCCCCTGCCAAGAGACTCAGAGCTGAGATCTGAGTAGAAGATGGGAAATGATGGACTCAGTAGACAGAGAGAATGCTGCCTTCTCTACATTCTCCAGGAAAGGGCATTTGAGAGGCTCCTCAGAATTAAGACTGGAAGGGAAGTTCACCCCCACTTTGGAGGCAAAGATTGGAAGATAAAGGTACTGCAGTCAAATGAGACATCTGTGATATACTTTGAAAAGTACTTTTTAGATAAACTTCATGACTATCTACACCAAAGGCAGCAGTATCAATAACTATCATCTGCTGGGGCTCAAGATGATGCTCAAGGTCCTGAATTTAGTCTTCAGCCCCCAGCCAGACCTGAGCCTGCATCCCTGCTGGACAGAAGCAATCTGTTCAATCCTTGGAACTTCCAGCTGAGCTGACTACATAAGGTATTTGGTATAGTGGATCCTTAAATAAGACAACTTTTCTTTAGCCGTACTCTCTTTCCTGATGACAGTTTCTATCCTCCTGGGCCTTACTCTCAAACTGCCTGCTGTTTATTTGAAAAGGGCAGATAACACAATACGAACTGGTACTCTAGCAACTGTTAAAATCTATTGTAGGATACACAGCACACAGAGAAAAACTAGCCATTCACCCCACTCTATGCTATTCGTATCAGAGAGAACATGGAAAATACACTCTCGGCCAGCATCCTTCCCTTACTAAAAGATGGTGTGTGTGTATCCGAAATGGGGGTGTGGTGGGGGGTGGAGTCTAACTTTCCAACAGCAGCAAAGACACAATGGTTCACAGCACACCACAGCTGGGCGCCTTTGGATCTGTGGAAGGAGTGGCTTGTGCCGGTGAGAGTGGGGGCCAGTCCTGGGCTCTGATGACTGCAGAGTCCTTCCAATGTGATTTTTATCATATGAACCCCCACTCCCGCTGCGGGTAGACACACAGAGGGGAGTGTATGCTTTAAGAAGATTTCTGCAACATGACAGAGCAATTTAAAATCTGGGTTCTTCTTTTCTGAGCTTGGACCCAAACTTGTCTTGAGACAGGAGAAGGCGCTTTAGGCAAACGGCTGCAGGAGCAGGAGAAGGCGCCTGGTGCCGGCGGGGAGCTTCCCAGCCGTGACCACGAGCGGCCAGCAGGTGTCAGTGCGTCCTTGCTCTGTCGCGGCGCAAAGCCTCCGCCTCCAGGACCACTCCCCACCGAGGCTTAAGGGGGCGCGGTCCAGACTTCTGGCCGCTCTGGTCCGGCAGACAGCTCTGCGGCTGGCACAACATGTGGTCACCCTCCTCGGAGCGGAGCTCTGAACTCCGGCTGGGGACACTCCACAGGAGGCGCTTCCCGCTCCGCCCCAGGGGGTCAATCTGAACCTGCGCCTTCTTCTCTCGCCAGGACTCCGCTCTCCCCGGCGGCCAGCAGCACTTGCAGACGAGGGCGGCCTAGCCCAGGGCGGGCCTGCTCCGGATGTGACCCGTACGGGTGGATGCTTCTCCAGATTCATGTCAAGGGCTCCCAACTCCTTTCCTCCTAGGACTCAGCTCGATGGAGCACTCCCGGGCGCCTGCGGCTTTCTGCTGTGCGGGCCCGTAGCTGCTCCGCCGATTCCCAGCAGGGGCCGCTCCCCATTCCCGGGGCACGCTCTTTAAACCCCTCGCTCAAGGTACCCGCCTTTCTAAAGGGCACGTCCCGGCAAGGAGGCAGTGTTCCCCTGGGTCCCGCGCAGGGCGCGGGCGCTGGACCCGCGGAGGGGAGGTGCGAGGGGCGGGGGAGGGTCGGCTTCCCACGTGGGGGCTGACGCCGGCTGCTCGGCAACGCCGACTTGATCCGGGGGCTATAAAACCAGTCCACCGTGAGCGCGGCGGAGCAGCGGCGGCTCCGGCTTCAGTGCAGACGCCCAGCAGCCCGCGCGTTACCGCCCGGCCGCCCCCAGCACCCTCTCCCCGCAGCCCTGCGCTCCTGCGCCAACTCACGCCGCCCTGGAACCCCAGCCCGTCCGGTGGCGCTCAGCGCCCTCAGAGCGCCGGGCCGACGCCCAAGAGACCCTCTGACTCGGCCAGGGCTCCTGGAGGGCCGATCGCCCACCAGCCCCGGCCCTCCTAAGGACGGGGGCGCCTTCATGCGGCTCCCACACCCTTCACCCCGCCGCAGCCACCGCCCCGGAGCTCCGCGCGCTGCGCCCCAGCCTCAGCAGGGCACGCAACTTTGGAAGTTCCGCGGCGCTCCGAGAGGCGGCGGAGCCCGCACCCCGGCCCCAGCCTGGTCCCCGCCGGCCCCGCCGCGTCTCGGGGACGCAGGAGAGCCGGTAATCGCTTCGGGGATGTAAGGAGACAGACATAGGACCCCAAGCCCGCGTCAGCACCCCTCCGCTGCCTCCCGGGGTGGGGGCGGGCCCCGCACACGGTAAGACCTCTTGCTTTCGCTCAGGCTCAAGAGTCAAGATATAGATAGATAGATAATTTTAAATTTCCTGTCATCCTTCCAAGTCATGAGGCCACCGATGATGTTCGTTCTCTCTTCTTGAAGAATAGCTCTCTTTCCCCATCGGCCCTATCTATTCTTTCCCGCCGCTTAGAAATAAAACTTGGCTGTGTTTAGGGGCTGAGAGCGAGACGGCGCCCACTCCCAGCGCCCGAAGCGCGGGCTAGGCGCCGTTCGTGGGAGCCCGGCCCATGGGCTGCTAGCGGCCCCTCCGCTCGGCCCGGCCTCCTTGTGGCCCCCTCCCCATGTGAAGCGCGGCGGGGCGAGCGGGGCGCAGGAGGAAGAGGAGGACCCACGGGCTCCGGGCCGGAAGGCAGCTGGCAGCAGGCCCAGGCGAGCGGGCACCCGCGTTCATGTTCCGCCAGGAGCAGCCTCTGGCCGAGGGCAGCTTCGCGCCCATGGGCTCCCTGCAGCCGGACGCAGGCAACGCGAGCTGGAACGGGACCGAGGAGCCGGGGGGCGGCGCCCGGGCCACCCCCTACTCCCTGCAGGTGACGCTGACGCTCGTGTGTCTGGCCGGCCTGCTCATGCTGCTCACCGTGTTCGGCAACGTGTTGGTCATCATCGCCGTGTTCACAAGCCGCGCTCTCAAGGCGCCCCAGAACCTCTTCCTGGTGTCTCTGGCCTCGGCGGACATCCTGGTGGCTACGCTCGTCATCCCTTTCTCGCTGGCCAACGAGGTGATGGGCTACTGGTACTTCGGCAAGGCGTGGTGCGAGATCTACCTGGCGCTCGACGTGCTCTTCTGCACCTCGTCGATCGTGCACCTGTGCGCCATCAGCCTGGATCGCTACTGGTCCATCACGCAGGCCATCGAGTACAACCTGAAGCGCACGCCACGCCGCATCAAGGCCATCATCGTCACCGTGTGGGTCATCTCGGCCGTCATCTCCTTCCCGCCGCTCATCTCCTTCGAGAAGAAGGACGGCAGCGGCGGCCAGCAGCAGGCCGAGCCGCAGTGTGAGATCAACAGCCAGAAGTGGTACGTCATCTCGTCGTGCATCGGCTCCTTCTTCGCGCCCTGCCTCATCATGATCCTGGTCTACGTGCGCATCTACCAGATCGCCAAGCGCCGCACCCGCGTGCCGCCCAGCTGCCGGGGCCCGGACGCAGTGCCGCCGGGGGGCGCCGAGCGAAGGCCCAACGGCCTGGGCCCCGAGCGCGGCGTGGGCTCGGTGGGCGCCGACGCCGAGCCGCTGCCCGCCCAGCTCAACGGTGCCCCTGGGGAGCCCACGCCGGCTGGAGCGCGCGACGCGGACGCGCTGGACCTGGAGGAGAGCTCGTCGTCCGAGCACGGCGAGCGGCCTCCCGGGACCCGCAAGTCCGGGCGCGGCCCCCGGGCCAAGGGCAAGGCCCGGGCGAGCCAGGGGGACAGCCTGCCACGGCGCGGGCCTGGGGCGGCAGGGCCCGGGGCGCCGGCGGCCGGGCCCGGGGAGGAGCGCGGCGGGGGCGCCAAGGCGTCGCGCTGGCGCGGGCGGCAGAACCGCGAGAAGCGCTTCACGTTCGTGCTGGCCGTGGTCATCGGCGTGTTCGTGGTGTGCTGGTTCCCCTTCTTCTTCACCTACACGCTCACGGCCGTCGGCTGCTCCGTGCCGCGCACGCTCTTCAAGTTCTTCTTCTGGTTCGGCTACTGCAACAGCTCGCTGAACCCGGTCATCTACACCATCTTCAACCACGACTTCCGCCGCGCCTTCAAGAAGATCCTCTGCCGCGGGGACAGGAAGCGGATCGTGTGAGCGCGCAGTCTGCGCCCCCCGCCCTCCCTTCCCCGCGAACGGACCCGTGTGGACTTCGGGCGACTGGGATCGAGGGACGCGTCTATGCAGCCCCAGCACTCTGAACCCCGGAGTCTGCCTCCTCTGCGTTTCCTGGCTGGAGCGTCGGCTCTGCGGCCTCTTTGGGTCACCTTCTCTTCCCTACCAGGGAAAAGCACTGGCTGGGAGGGCCCATACGCCCCCCAAATTGTTAGGACCGCTCCTGACTCCGAGTGAGCTTCCAGGGATCTTGGGCACGCCCCTAAATCAGTATTGTTCTTTTCTCTTCCCCTAAGTCCAGAGCAGTTCAGAGCAAGTGCTGGACCCCAGAGGGTATGGCTCACAAAGGGTTAACAGATGGGGGGTTTCCCAGCCTGGGCTAATTGCTCTCCCCCTCCCCCAACTCTATTTTTAAACAAAGCTCAGGGCAGCCCAGCCCGTCCTCCCATCCCCCACTGTAAATACACACTATTTTTGATAGTACATGCGGAGTGGGGGTGGGGTCCCTAACGTTGCTTGGCTTTTGATGTCGGAATCCTGGCTGTCAGAGATGGCCTGGAAGTAGACACGTTCTGTTCTGGCTGGTTCAGGCCAAGTCCCTCTGCAATGCAAGCCCCTTTTTAGTGTCATTACGTCCCTCTGTGTCCTTTTCACCAGCAACTGGTGACTGTCCCTTTGGGCCTATACCTGCTTTGAGATTCCCTGAGGGGGAAAAGATTTGTCCTTCTTTTTTTTTTCCTGTGCCTAACAGCATAATTGCCTTTTCCTATGTAAATATTGCAATGATGGACCAAGACAGAAGTAAACGAACCTTTCTGCCTTGCATCAGCCCCGTGTATAAAGCCATTATCTCCGGATGCTCCCTCGCCCCAGTAACTCACTTTAAAACCGTCTCTTTCTGGTGTCCTCTCCCTCTTTTTCTCTTGGGCCACTGCTTGAAGAATATGTATGTTTCTATTTTGTATGTATGTGGGCCCCTCCATCCCCCAAAGTGCTGACTGCGGGGAAAATCTTTTAGCTGCTGTTTTTAGACACAGAAGAGTGGAAATTATGTGGAAGAGGCAAACCTGATACAATTTGCCCAAGGTAAACAGTTTGCAAAGACAAATGGGCCTGCCAAACTGTACGGTTCCTGCCCCAAGAGCTCTTAGGTATCAAAATGTTGTCTTTTCCCCCCATTCTGTTTTTCTGATTGAGATCATGTCATTGATGAATTCCCAAAGTCAACGGAGGAGGGAGAAGACCTTCGTGTTTACATCCGAGTTTCTACATGTTTTAGACTCTTTAAGGCCTGCACTCTTAATTGACTAAAGAAAAATTAATGTCAGCACACGTTGCTAATGACAGTGGATTTTTTTTAAATAAAAAGTTTACAGATCAAATGTGAAATAAATATGAATTAAATGGTTCTGTCTGTTATTTGAGTTTCCAAAAGCTTTAAGAATGGGAACATCTGGTTATGTATATAGTCTTTAAATGAAAAAGAAATACATGTATATGATAAAACATCCTTAAAAGTGCAAGCAATAACAAAACTATCATTCACCAAGTGTTTCTTATGTGCTGGACACTATGGTGAGCCTGTTATAGGTTCTGCTTCATTTAATCTTCCCCCAAACCCTATGAGGGATGGACTGTTATTATCCCCATTTTACAGGTGAAGAAACTGAGTCTCAGAGAGTGAGTGATTTGCCCAAGGTTAACAAGTGGTAGAAATGCATTGTATCCAGCTTTATCTGGTTACATGATCTGTACTCTTCACTCCAGAGCCTTGCCAGACCCACATCATTACCACTTTGCAGAATGCTACCAGCAGTGAGGTCTCTATACAAAGTGTGCTGTGTACACAAAGTATGGAATAGATCCCAAGTGTGTAGATACAGAGTGTGTACACACTGCAAAGTGTCTGTATTCCCGTAAAGCTCAAGGTGTACATATTCCCCTAAAGTATGGTATATGCACAAAGTGTGGAATATACTCCAAAATGTGTATCACACCTTCAAGTGCAATAACATACAACATGTGGTGTGTAGCCCGTGGTGTGGTATATACACAGAGCGCAGTATAAACATCTAAATAGATCCATGTGTTTATTCCTTGGTGGCTTGAATTGTCTCTGGCCAAATGCACAGATCCCTCCTGTTGCGTTTCTGTAATATCAATTTCCACCCTGCTGTCTAGGAGGGCTTAAGATCCTCACCCAAAGGACGGTTATGGTTAAGGCACTTGGAAGCGGGAAGGGCCCTTAGAGATCCAGGAATCCAGCCTTTCATCTTCCGAGAGGAATGACTTGCTCAGGGTCCCACAGCTCTGGGTAACAGGGCTCTGGACCCGCACTGCCTCGTTCAGGTGTGAAGCAGCCGAGTGAATGTGAGCAGTTCCATTCGTGTGTATAACCACAGACAATACTGATGAAGGAGAGCTGTTCGTGGAGAAGCTGGGTTTGAGGGGTGATCACAAGCCACAGGTCATGGTTTGGGGAAGGATGGGCTTTATAGGGCCAGCCACTTATAACGCATGTGCAGACCAGCTCTGGACGCCCCCAGGAGCAGGTCCTCAGAGCATCCTCTGGGCAGCGCTTGTCTTCCTTAATTTCTTTGGTGGGAGCCAGGGGATGTGTGCAGGGGTGGGAGGGTGGAGAGCCCTGAGAAGTCATTTGGGCTCTGAGGGGCCTGGGAGAGGGAAGACTTTGGACCTGAGAGGGTTTTGCAGAGGTGGAAATGAGTTCTGCCATTGCCTGGCCTTCTGAGCCCGCAGACGAGGAGGGGCAGGCCCTCGGCTCTTGCCTGGGGGCTTTGTACACCAGGGCCTTTGCAGCCAAGTCTGGCTGCCTGGTCTGGTGCGGGGCCCTGTTTCCCATCCCCACTCCAGCCTCTCTCTCACTCCCACTCAAGGCACCCATCACCCCAAAGGCAAACAGTGCCAGACAATAGGCTAGCCTGGCAGGCCCCCAGGAACTGGGCTGTGTGTCGCAGACACAGGGACAGATACAAACACTACTCACTGTTGACTCTTCTGTTCTGGCTGTGGGTCATGTTTGTCTTGCCTTCACCCCCAAAGGCCCTGCTCCTTTGGGAAAGGGGGAAGTGTGAACAATGGTGCCATGTAGGGCAAGCCTGCCAACCATCCAGCAGCACAGAAGCCTCAGAAACTGGGGGGGGGGGACAGGGGCTGATAAAGTGGGGGAGAGGGGGCTGGAGTTCACAGGGGCATCACTGTTCATTGCAGAGGGCTCAAGCAACCGCCTGCAAAGGTCTCAGGTGGGAGGGGACTTGAGGAGGGGCGGCCCACATGGGGGTCTTAGCCCAAAGCTCAGGAGGTGAGATTGTTGCCTCACAACTTCCTGTTCACATCCGATCCCAATGATCTGGGCCGAGAGGACCTGTCTTCATGGTGTCATCTCTTAATGTATGTGGCTTTGGTTGGGGTATCAAGAGCCACTGGCTTTGGGGTCTGAAGTGTGTCTGGCCAAATTCAGTCCAGGTTCAGGCGCCTTGAGTTCGGAGAGGGGCAGTGCCACACTTAAGTCTGGGTGCAAGACTGTTCGGTTTCTTCTGCGCTGTAGGGCTGGAGGAGAAAACGGTGAAAAAGTGGCTTAGGCGTTCCCCTCCTTATGATTCTATAATTGAATCAGCATTTTAGAGCCAGAAGTTTCCACACACATCCCTCACTCCCACATTGTGCGGTTGAGTCCCTGAAAAGCCGACGGGTCATGTGGCATCCCGGGGTCCCTGGGGCCCACTGCTCCCCTGACCCTCTGTCTGATGCCATTGGTAGCCAACAGGAATTCTATTTTGCTGTTGGATTGGTGTGTTATCGATCAACCCCAGAGGAGCCCTCTGTGCCTGCTCTGTGCCAAGCACCATGCCAGGCACTGCGAGGCACCCTCTTCCTTTCATGCATGCGCCCTGCAGAGCCCAGCACTTGCCTTAAGCGATTAGGGCCTGCCCTGTGGAAGCATTAGGGCTGCATGGGGAGACGGGATGTGCCTGCGTGAAGCATTAAATAGCCGTACAACAACGACAGTGTGGTGGGGGGTAGTGGATGCTGAGTGCCCACCGAGCGTCACGGGCGTCTACCTGTACCACGAGAGTGCAGGGGGGAGAGGACGCTGTGGTTGGGAGCTCAGGGAGTAGAATGTGGGCGCTGGGGTGCCAGGACTTTAGCTGAGTGAGGAGGGGCAGGGAAGGCAGCTCTGGTTCTAGCAGCTGAGCCCTGAGAAAGCATTGCCAGGCCTATCGGGCCTCAGCTTCATTTCTCCAACCTGATCCATAGAGGTGGCATGGTGAGCTCCTGTCCCCGTTTGAGGGCACCCACCAGGAAGCCTACCTTCCTGACTCGAGTAGCAGGACCCAGGGACTCAGGTCCCTGCCTTTGTCAGAGCCAGGGCCCAACACGAAGCCTTGTGTGCAGGCCTCTGCGCTGGGCCCTGCCAACTGCCACAGTGGGCCTGGGAGGCTGGGATGCAGGAAAGGGTGCCTTCCTCAGTGGAGGGTGTACCTATGAGGGAAGACACGTGCGGTCGCTGAGCACAGCCACAAACACCAGTGTTTGTTCCAAAACAGTATCGGTTTCTCTGATTACCAGAAATCCTGCAGTTTAGAGTTAAATACAAAGGAGGAAACAAAACCTGTTGGAAAGAGCTTGGACTTGGGCATTAGGCGGTCTGGGTTCTAGCCTTGGCTTTGCCTTTTCCAGGGGTATGACCTTGGGCAAAGCCCTTTCTAAGCCCCATTTCTTCATTTATGAAGTGAGAATGGTTGGTCTAGATCAGTGTTAAGTGTGTCCTGTCGAATTTATTTAACACAAAATCAATCTCAGTCTCTCTCTCTCTCTCTCCCCCCTCTCAAACGTATTTATCATCTATCATCTACCTGTCTGCCTGTCTATCCACATCACCTGTCTGATGAAGTGCTGGGTTAGGTGACCTGTGAGAGGCACCTTTTCTTCAGGACTTCTCAGAGCCTTGAATGTGCCAGTGTGGATTGTGATTCTCTGAGAGGGGATGGATATGGTGAGCTATGTTTCCCCATGGACTGCAGACTTCCAGTTTTATAGAGCATCAAAGCGAAACATGTTTTCTGGAACACTTATTGGGTCATAGAGACTAAGGGATCTCACCAAGCTTTTCTCCTGCTCGGTTTTGAGATTCTATGAAATGCCAGCTCTGTTCTCTTCTTCTGTCTCTCCCTCAGGTGAGGCACACTGGGGAGGGACCAAGCTCTATGTTCTTTTTGGGCACAGCTGGCTCTAAGAGTCATTGGCCTCACTGAGGCTTGAGGTTCTGTTGGGGCTGTTATGAGTATGGCCAGACTGCACACACACACAGACATACAGACACACAGGGACACAGACAGACACGTGCATACCGCCCTTTTGCCAGCAAGTGAGTCAGGTGAGAGACAGCCCCAGGGAGTCGTGTGGCTGGCTCCTGGCCAACGTTGTCTAGGCTGGCCTCACGTCTGTGGCTCTGGCTCAGCGAAGAGGCCAAGAAGCAGACGCTGAGCTGCCCAGCAGTGATGGCTAATGAGGCTGGGACCTGGGTGAGGAGTGTTGGGGACTGGCCCAGGTCAATGACTGTACTTGTCCCCTGGGTACACTAAGAGTTCTGCTGCTCCTTTCTCAGCACCTTGGGGCATCCCTTAGCCTTCCTTCTCAGTAGATACACACCTTAAGGATTCTTTCTTATGCCCTGGCCCCAGAGGAGGTACTGAGAGTTTTTTTTTTTTT